CCGTCCTCGGGCCTGGGCCGGGAGCTGCTGGCGCGTGTGGGAGCGGCTGTTTTTAGGTCGGGAAGTAAGGAGAGTCAGAGCTGCGGGCTGTGCGCTCGCCGAGTGCTTAGCGCTCCGCCAGGATCTGGGGGGCTGGTTTATGTCAAAGAAAGCAAGTCTTGCCCATAAGGGATTTGTTTTCTCCTTACACAGACAGCTACCGTGCACGGAGCGGTGGTGGCTAAGCACGGAGGAGAAGTGGTGTCCGTGACGGGGGGTGCCTGGGAGGTGCAGGGTGTCATGCAGTTCCAGCTGAGAAGGAGCCTAACAGGCTGTCGGGGTCACTGACGGGGAGCTTGGCGCCTGGCTTGTCCAGACTGGGCCAGAACCAGCCCACGGGGCCGGGAGGCTGTTCCTAGTGGGCAGATGAGAGGAGACAGAGCTGGGTGTCTCCGTCCAACTGCGAGGTAATGGCCCAAGCAGAGGGAGCTAGTTTCAAAGTTCAATGTGCCGAGTTGGGCAGTGATGGATGCCGTGAAGCCCAGTGGGACTGTTTCCCTAACTGGGTCGGCAGTGATCTTGCCCTTGCTCCTCGTGGGCCTGGCAGCGGCCCGTCCGGGGGCTGGTGGGTTCCCCACCTCCCTCCTCCAGCCAGAGGGGTACTGCTTTCCTGTGTTCTGAGCCGGGTCTCGTCGGGGTCGAGGTAGCTCGTGGGTCCCTGACAACCCCGCAGTGGTAAGCAGCGGCCCCTGTAGGTTCCGAGGGAAGGTAACCTAGGGGCTGAAGGCTGGGAGTGGGTCACGGGGGCCGCGGGGATGCCTTTGCAGGCGGAAGGCATGTCTGGCGGGGAGCGAGGTGTGCGCGGAGCCTGGCTGAGGAACAGGGCAGGATGAGGGGGCTTGCCTCTGGGTCCCCAGGGACACTGGGAGTGGGGAGAAGACACAGGGGAGCTTGACTTTAGACGTGTTCAGTCTGAGCCGCGAGGACCGCAGGCAGGGGGGCACGCACGTGGGGTGACCTCGTCGGACCTGGGGGCGGGCTGGGCCGCGGACGGAGGGCGGCGCTGAACGTGGCTGGTGAGCCCAGATACCGGGGAGCAGACGCGGGCTGGCAGCGGTGGTGGGGAGCTTGAGGCGGCGTCTGCTGCTTCTCCTTCTGCAGTGCTCTCCCCTTTATTTTGGTCCCCACTTTGCATATGAGGCTCGTCTGGGTGACTCAGCAGAGGACCCAGACGCCAGAAGTCACCCAGACACAGCACAGCTGGGGCCAGAGTTCAGGCTTTGTCTCCTCCCAGTTTCGTGATCTATTCCTAAACTACAGCTCTTTGTGCTTTTCGCACAGAAGTCAGTCCTTGATTATCACTGTGGGTTGACGCTGTAAAAGGGCCACCTTGATTACGGATGAAAGCAGGGGGAGGGCCGGAGGGAACTCCAGCGGCCGAGCGGCCTTCCCTCGCAGCCCGGCGTCAGCGGGGCGGACGGCCCCGGGCGAGCCGGGGTTTGACGTGTCTTAGGGTCAGACACGGGGAAAACGGAGGCAGGAGTTTCTGGCAGGACTTAGTTCTTTGTGACGTGAAACGGGGGAGAAGTGGGGCCCGCTCCCACCGCGTCCCAGTGTGGCACCCCCGTCTGCGGGATGCAGAAGGCAGGCCTTGGGTGGTTGGTGGTTGGTCGGTCGCGCAGTTCCCAGGTCTGAAATCGTCGGGCAGGCGACTTGGTCTGTGGTTGCTCAGTGAACTTAGTGAAGGTCACCAGTGGCAGGTTGAGAGGCCATGGGGAGAGTCGGGTTTTGTGTTTGTCTGCCAGTAATTGTCACAAGACGAGGATTGAAAAAACACACCTAAATGCACGCCGACCCCCACCTGCCAAGGAGGGCCCTCTGTCCCCCCTCCCTGATGGCTCGGCCGCAGGGCGGGGAGTCTGGGAGCCTGCTCAGGATGGGCTACGCCTGAGTGAGGCGCCTCGTCTGGGTTTGGAAATAGACCTCGGGCAGACCCTCCATCTGCCAAGAATGCCATCGGGTCACGAGCCGGCTGCCCACTGCCCTGTCCCTGCCCACATGTGGCTTCACCCAGGGCCCAGGACGAGGAGGGAGCCCGCGGGCACAGGGCATCTAGCAGGTGCTGACCGCGTGCAGCCGTGGGGCGCGGGAGCATCCCCGCCACTGCACTTCGGGCCTTTCCTTCCGGCCGTCCCCCCATGCACGTGCTCTATGTGGCCGGGGAGCACGATGTTGTCTGCCTCTCTGCTTGCTTTCGCAGGGCAGGCCTCGCCCACAGCAGCAGACGCTCACAGATGGCGGCCTCACACCTCGTGGTTGTTGCGTCGTGGCTGTGCTGGGATTAGCGGCTTCTCTCCTGCTGTCACACAGGGGGTTTCTGACTTTCACTGTGGGCCTCGCTTCCCCATTCTTTGTTTGGGTTCAGGACTGATTCCTGGGAGCAGACTTGCTGAGGAAGGGGTACAGACGTTTTCTGGCCTCCGCGTGTCTGTCCTTTCCAGAAGGGTCCAGCCAGCTCACACTCCTGAGGCCACGGACGAAGCATCACTCAGAATGTCCCTCAGTAGCCTGTCTGGGTCCCCCAGCGGGGACGCGAGCACAGCTCCCCTCAGACCCCCGGGTGGCCCGTGCACTGCTGGGCCTGCCTCTGCCTCCTCACCACTGGCATTTTCCGTCCAGTAATGATGTGCCCAGGCCTCCGCGTGAGTTTAAGAGGCGGGATCTGGGCCTGAGTGGCTTTACTTTCACGTTGAGCAGATCATGGGGTGAAGAGCTCAGCCCAGAGGGGAGGCCAGGCCAGGCCCCAGATCCTGCCTGAAGGGCATGCCTCGACTAGGGTGGGCACCCCGTGGCCTCAGGGTGCAGTGCTGAGCGCAGTGGGTGACCCCAAGGCCCCGAGGGCCTCCCAGGTTGGCAGAGCTCCCAGCTGGCGTCACACCACGTCCGCTGCTTCTGTGTAGGTGGAGGGGGAGAAAGTGAAATGGGGGTTGGGTTTTAAGGAATGAGGTCAGAGGTGGAGGAGTCTGGAGAATCCCCCGGTGGCCGAGCCTCTCCTGCCCCTGGTCTGACGCCCCCTTGTCCACTCCCATGCCGGTTGCCATGACAGCTTCATGTCTCCTAGGATCCCTGGGCGGCTCAACGACAGGAGGACGCCGCTGGGCGAGCTGAACTGGATCTTCACGGCCATCACGGACACCATCGCCTGGAACGTGCTTCCTCGGGGTGAGGCTGGCGGCGGGCGGGGGCGGGGGCTGCCTGGGCTCAGGAGACGGGTCCCTCGACGGGGTGCTGCAGAGCTGCTGGCACCATCCGTGTTTCCTAGAACCAGAAAGCGTGAGTGCGTGTACCGCCAGGGTGAAATATGCGTGTTCGTCCCAACTTGCTCGTCCAACAAGTTATGATGGAAGTAAATTTGCGTATTTGCTTTAAGCGCTGGATGTGAGTCACTGAAGACATCTTTTTACCCTCTGTCCCCAGATCTCTTCCAAAAGCTCTTCAGACAGGACCTGCTGGTGGCCAGTCTGTTTCGAAACTTCTTACTGGCGGAGAGGATCATGAGGTCGTATAACTGCACCCCGGTCAGCAGCCCCCGCCTGCCACCCACCTACATGCACGCCATGTGGTGAGTGTCTCCCCGGCCCGCCCGCCCACCCAGCTCCTCCAGGTGCTCGCTTCTCCCAGGGTCGTGGGGTCAGCCGACGCCAAGCAGGCCGGCGTGCCTCCGAAGGTGGAGGCCGGGGTGGTGCCAGCAAGCGACAGGGTTGTCCCCAGGCTCACCTGAGCCCCCTGAGGGCTGAGCGGGCAGGACCAGCGCCTCCGGGGCCCTCGGTCCTCACCCGGGGTTGGTTTCTGGCTGTGGGTGGGTGTTGAGGAAAGAAGCTGCCAGCTGGATTCCTGACCTGTGTCCAGGGTTGCTCCAGAGAAGTAAAGCTGTTGGTTCCTGGACAGTTAACTGGCACGCCCGCTTCACACGTGCGTGCACCTACACACGCTCACGCACACACGAATGTGGTCTTCATGACACTTTTACGCTGACTGTAAATTCCCTGCAGAACTGGCTTGCCGCTCCGTACACCACTGCGAACAGAGGTCACAACGTGACGGGGACGCTGGCTCGAGTCCAGACCCTGTGACTGAAGGCCCTGGTTTCTTCCCGTTTCCTTGCTCTTGTGACGCACGCAGTTTGGGGGGCGCTCGATGGGCAGCAGCAGGGAGAACACGTCCCGGTTCCATCTGGCCGGGGAAGCCCCGCCGCCAGTACTTCAGAAGCGCGGGTTACTCCCGCCCAGCCCCAGGGGCCGTTTTATGGTGTGTTGTCAGCACCAGGTTTGTTTGGGTAGTGGTTTTTGGTTTTGCGCTTTAATGTGTGCACGGCCCCTTTCCCCCAGCTCTGGAAACCCAGAGAACCAAGAAGGATTTGGGAAACTCGCTGCCTCTCGTCCACTCAGGGAAAAGCCGGACTCAGCACCCATATCCATGAGCTAAATCCAGGGTCCCCTGCACACCAGACCGTCAGTAGAAATCACACACAGACATACTCCAGCCGTAGCCTCCTCAAGCATTTCTAGGATAAAACAGAACAGAGTTGCGGGGAAGCAGGGACGGGGCCGGACCTCCGTGGAGGAGCCGGCTGTGCGGCAGCGTGATTTCGGCGAGAACAGAGCGGCGGGACAGCGGGTGCGGTGCCTTGAATCCGGGAAGACAGGAGCTGGAGGAGGGGTGTTGGGCGCTTGGAGTGAGTGATCAGGAAGAAGACGCGCGTTTCTGGAAGAGAAGACCCTCCAAGCAGCCTCGTCCCGCAAGGAAAGCGGTGCCTTAAGTTCTGCTTCTTCTGAGCCGGGTGTTTATAAACCATGAATTATAAAGAAAAGGAAGGAAAAGGAAAAGGAGCTCAGCCGGGTCGCTGGCCCGTCTGCTCGTGGACGGAAACCTAGCAAACGCCACCCCCAGGGTTTTCTGCTTTCCTGGCCCCGACCTCCCTGTGCATTCGGGGGCCTCAGGCGGCCGACGTGCACCCTGAGGACGGGGGTGCCGTCCGGGTCCCCAGCCTGCACGGCCCCCACCCCACAGACCGCTGTCGGTGGCCGGGCCTCCTACTGGCTCCCTTTTAGGCAAATTCTGGTTATTGCAGGGTGGGCTCCGTGGGGAGCGGACTCAGAGTCGGGGTCAGCGTGAGGCTGCCGTGGGGGGTACTCCTGGGGTCACCCCGACCCCCCTCGACCAGCGCATTCCCAGCCACCTCCTGCTTCTCTCCAGCCCCCGCCGCCCCGTCCGTGTCGCGTCCACCCATCCCAGCCCGGGAACCAGGAACAGGACTGGAGAGGCCCTCTGACAGCCTTGGACGAGGAAAGCTGTCCGTCAGAAGAGCGGCGCTCTGAGGGGAGGCTGGGCAGCCCCCGGCGCCTGCCGGGACAGCGGTGCAGCTGCGATCCACCGCCTGGAAGCACGGGGGCTTCTTGGGGCGACGCCTGTGACGCCTGTCGCCGTGCCAGATGCCCTCTTGTCCTTTCGCACTGGGTGGGGCCCCCGGCTGAGACTCAGGCTCCTCTCACAGGAGTCGGCGGTGGCGAGTTCTCAGCGGGAGGCTCACACGCACGAAGCCCACGTCCTGTCTGCATGAGGGTTTCCTGACAGCAGGGCCAGCGTGAGTCTGCCGCCAGAGTAAGCGTTAGGCAGGCCCGTGAAATGCTGAAAGTTATGCCACTAACCAACTTTGGTCGGGAATCGAATGTCAGGTCAGACTTCTGACTGGAGAAGACCCGTGCCCTCAGGACGACGACTGGGCGGGAGGGGAGAGGAGCCGTGGGCCAGCAGCCGGGCGGCTGCGCGTCTCCCGGGAGTAGCACCACGCCGGGGTTTCCAGGGGCAAGCCCCCCTCACCCCCTGCCAGCCTCCTTGTTGACCAGACGGACAGCTGCTCTACCCGGAGCGTCCTGCGCTCCAGCTGGCGTCCAACAGGGAGCCCCCTGGGTGGGCCGGGCTGCCGTGCTCTGGGTGTTGGGAGGAGACCACTGCTCAGGGCTGGCGAGAAGCTCTGTTGCTTTATGAAGTCGTGCAGAATTGTCTTCTGTCAAGTCAGATCAGAAATACTTGGTGTGAACGCGGGTCAGGCGGCTGCGTGGGGCATGGCCTCGCCGAGGCAGCTGACTAGGATGGATGCGAATCCTCTCCTGTGTTCTGCCTCCCCCCTGCAGGTGGTTAGAGGCGGTGGTTGGAATACTGGATAGTTGGTAACCCCAAATCCAGCGGCTCTACGGGGTGGGGCATGGCGCCCCTCCGCTCTCCCCGAGGCCATGGCTGCTCCTGGTCCCAGGAGGCTGGGGCCGTGGTCCCTGTCCTGGGTGGCAAGTGTCCTGCCCAAAGCCCTGTCCTCAGGGGAGGTGGGAGGGTGGTGGTGAAGGAACAGCCAGTGGGCTCGGTTGCACAGACAGGGAAGCGTGAGTCCTGGAAACCCCAAGGCCAGCGCAGCTGCACTCGGGTTTGCACACTGCCCCCGCGGTCCGAGGCGCCCGGGTGCTCGGTGCCGAGTGGGCTCTCAGCCGGGCTCACCCAGGTGATGATGCTCATGACAACGATGCCCGTTGCTCCTCTGCCCCCTTGTAAATAGACCGATGTTTGTGCGTCCCCAGGGAGCCAGTGCACAGCCAGCACAGTCAGAAAGAGCATTCGGAATAAATAATTTACCATCTCGTTACTGTACTCTGTGGGTGGTGATGGAGAGGCTGAGCTTTCGGGCGAGGAGGGGGCAGGGAACAGAGCCTGGCAGAACTGAGGTTAAAGCAGGACGTCCACAGGCTCACGTGGGCTCCAGGCGGGGCCGGAGATGAAGGGCCCGGTGCCCGCTCGGCTGCTGTTTAATTTTTGATGAGAAGCCATCGGGGAGTCGTTTGCCTTCACTTTCCATTTCAGTGGGTCCCGAAACCTCGCGTTTCCCCGCAGTGGTAACCTGCACTCCTCCCCCTCGAGGGAGCCCGGCCGCTGACTGACGGGTGCAGATGGAGCTGGGTACTCTTGGAAGGCGCCCCGCCCGGCCCACTCCTCGGGCGCCTGCCATCTGAGCCCGTTTCCTGAAAACCCGAGCTCCTGCCTGGGTGGCACGTTTTCCAGGCCGTGATTCATCGGCCGCCCACGGCCCACAGGCCCCGCTGCTCCACGCTGAGGCGCGGGGAGGCCCGGGT